AAAAAAAAAAAAAAAAAAAAGAATCAGAGGCCTGGGGCACTTCCAGCCGACAACAGGTCATCCTCCTCCCAGCGCCAGCACAGGTCGGTAAGAGGGAGGGTGAGCCACCATGTGGGAAGCTCTCCCGCTCTCACATCTTCCAACTCTTCCCTTGACCAGGCCCAGCACTGGGTGGCAGGGGCCGTGGTCACTTGTGGGGCACAGCCAGCCCATTGGATTAAAGCCTTGATTTTCCCAGAGCCTATTTTTTTTTTTAGATTCTTGGCTGAAATCATTGTGTTTTTAAAACTGGAAGAGACTTCAGGGATCACGGAGTCCAGCTTCTTCATTTTATGGTAGGAAAATTGAAGAGCAGCAAGGAAGCGCCTGGCTTCAGGCCACTTGGCTAATAAAGTGGTGTCATGGTTAAATGCACAAGTTCTGAAGGCAGGGAGCCCTGAGATGAATCTTGGCTCTACTTTTGATCAGTGTGGTCTTGAGCAAGGGGTTCTCTTCTTCCGGGATTTAGCTTCTTCATTTGTGTGATGGGAGAGGATTATGAACGGCAGAAGGTAGTAGCAAGGATTACACAAGAAAGCTTGCCCTGGAAGTGGAGGTAACTACTGTTGTTATTGTCACTGTGGTATTTCTAACTTGAAGCAAAACCTCCTGACTCCCCAAGGCCAGGGCTGTTTCCTACCGGGTTGGTGGTGTTGTCACCATCAGGATTTCAGCTGTCTACAGCTTGAATCTGCCCATGTCATTATCACCCTAGGTAAGACTGGAGGATGAATAAGAACCCACAAGCCAATTCTTTAATTCTGGGCTATAGCCAACTGGTTGTCCAAGGCTGAGAAGGGGTTAAGATGCCCCCAAAGCTTGCCGGGAAGGCAGCTGCCTCAGCGGGCACTCCGCCTGGACAGGAATATAAGCGCTCTTGGTGTTGCCCAGGCAGAGAGGGCAGTGTGGAGGGAAGTTGCTAGAAAAAGGCAGGGGACATAATCCATACTGGCCTCTTTCCCGGGCACATCACAGTGGGAGGATTATTTATGATTCTGACCCAATGGGGATCCCTCTGCTTGGGGAGGCTGCCAACCTACACCCTTCCGAATGACAGTGTCCTCCCACAGGGACAGAGGGGAACAAGTGGCATTTATGGAACTGCACAGAGAAAAGAGTGTGGGCTTTGGAGGCAATGTACCAGAACTCACATCCCAGCCCAGACACTTCCTGTGTGTCCTTAAGCAAGTTGATTAACCTGTCTGGGCCTCAGTTTCCTCATCTGCAAAAATGTGTGGGCTGACACGTATTGTACAATGTTGCTATGCAGATTGACTGTGCTAGCTGAGGCAGTGTGTGCTGCCTGGAGGAAAGTAGTGCCCACTAAGGGGTAGCTGGCATTACCTTTCTCTGGGCTGAGTCCAAGGAGGGGAGCTGGGCTTGCTAGCTGCCCTGTTTTGCTGAAGTGGCAGAATATCATCAGCAGCAGTTTGGGCAATACTGACCCTTGATAAATATAGGTGAATAAAATATCTAATAAAAACTGGACCCACCACTCTGCAGGACCCAGGCTCTGCTTTCAGGAGCTTGTGCCCTAGGGCAGCTAATAATATGGCAGGAGATGTTCAGACCAATAGTTCATAGCTATGTTTTGTAAAACTTCATGCACAAGGCAGGTGTTTGGACAGACCAGAAAGGTCAAGAAAGTCCCCACCTGTTTTCCAGTATGTTAGCTGGGGGACGTGAGGACTTGCATCCCCAAAGGAACTGTCTCTACTAGCTCCCTGTCTCTTCTGCCTTCTGATAGTGGATTCTCCTGGGAGTCCCCAAAGACCTCTCCTTTGTCATGGAGTGGCTGTTTCGGGAGAGTGATTAGGATGACACAGTGCCTAGCAGTGTGCTCTTTGGAGATAGGTGCTGTACTCACCTGTGGGCCTGCCCAGGCACCTCCTGGCCAAGGTTGGCTTCTTCAGCTATCTGGCCTTTGCTTACTTCAAGAATCTCCTCTGAGCATTTCCATGGATAATGTTTCTCAGAGATGCTATTAAAAATAATTTTTAAAAAGGCAAAAAGTCAGGCCTGGTGCAGTGGCTCATGCCTACAATCCTAGCACTCTGGGAGGCCGAGGTGAGTGGATTGTCTGAGCTCACCAGTTCGAGACAAGCCTAAGACAGAGTGAGACCTCATCTCTAAAAATAGCCAAGGCTTGGTGCCTGTAGCACAGTGGTTACAGCGCTAGCCACATACACCAAGGGTGGTGGGTTTGAACCCGGCCCGGACCAGCTAAACAACTGAAAAAAAAAAAGCTGGGCATTGTGGCAGCTGCCTAAAGTCCCAGCTACTTGGGAGGCTGAGGCAAGACAATATCTTAAGCCCAAGAGCTTGAGGTTGCGGTAAGCTAAGACATCATGGCACTCTACCAAGGGGGACAAAGTGAGATTGTCTCAAAAAAAAAGCAAAGAAGTCTCTCCATTTTCCTGGGACTGATTTCTCAGGTCCTTGGTGTCTTGTCCAGAAGCAGGAGAGCCTGTTGCTAACAACATTTGGCCTGGGATTTGGAGATAAGTCCTCGCTAGCCTTTGGGTGCTAATTATCTGTGAATCCTGGGGCAAGTGACCTACTGCTTCTGGATGATCCTGAGGACCCTTCCAGGGCAACCATCTGTGTGTTCACTGTTGATCCGGGGGTTGGCACAGGGCCTGAGCATAGCAGATGCTCAGCAAAGGTTTGTTGAATGAATGCATGTACCCTGCCAGGCAGTGGTTGATTTGGCCACTTCACTGCAAGTAGACAGGGGACATCCTTTCAACTCCCCAGTCTCTCATTTATTGGCTGTGAATTGGGTGCTAGACATAACAGACAGAAAAGGGGAGAATGGTTGGTTTGAACTCTGCTGGCTTACGTATTTCTCCTGGTCCCATTCCTCCTGAGGGCAGATCGGGTTTATGGGGCCAAGTTGGGAGAATGGTTGATTCCAGGGTATCTCATTTTGTGATCTTGCCTCCTCACAGATTTGCCCAAGGGCTGGGAGATGGATTCCACTCAGGAAGGAGCTGTGTATTTCATCAAGTGAGTAAGATGGAATTTCCTCTCTGATGTCACAACTGGTCCTGCTTTCTTCCTTATCACTCGTGCCTCTTGTGCCTGCGCAGGAGAGGCGATCGTTAAAGCGTCTGGTTTTCATGGAGAGCATTGCTGTGTCTATGAATGGCCAGGAGGTGCCAAGGCTTCTGAGAGTGTCAGATAAAGACAGGAGTGTGTGTCTGTGTGCATGTCTATGTTGGCCTGGGCAACATCCAGTGTCATGGGATGTTTTTGGGTGGGGTGGGTGCAGTGTTGGGCTGGGCTGTACAGGTGGGAAGGAGATGGCTTAACAAAGCCAAAGAAGGAGGGTACTCTAGACACATAGGACAAAGATTCAGGGGAAGGAGACAGAGCTGTGCGGTTCCATGAGAGGCAGGATGTGGAGCCAGAGGAAAGGGAAGGTATGAGGACATCAGCCCAGTGGTGGCCAGGCCAGCTCTACTCTGGCTCTCATGGAGGAACAAATGTGTTCCTCTAAGGAGTTGGTTGGGCACCTCTGTGGGCTTGGGGAGCCCTTACTTTCCATTAGGGTTAAAGGTATGCCTTGGGAAGTTGCCCTGGATTTAACCTTGGAAGCAGAAGACACTGCTGTTTGGGCTGGGGTTGGGGGGGTCCATAGCTACCCAACTGGACTCACTTTCCTCTGCCTTGGCCATCTCCCAGATGGGCTGGGTCCTGGCTTTGTTCCCATGGGTGAGGTTCCTGTGCACTTGGCGTGTTCAGACCTGTGGGCCTTCCCGTCTGGTCTGGCCTCAGATTCTGCAGGGATGGTGGAGCACTACTGCCCAGCTACCTGGAGCCCTGGGACCTCCAGAGAGTCCCAGTCCAGCTGGGAAGGAAGATCCTCATCTCATCCCCTTTCCCTCCCTCTCTGTTCTGAAATATTCCTCCTGTGTACCAAAAGTGGTCATCTTTCTATCCTCTGCCTCAAGATCTGCCAGCATTTATATCAGCTTGGTTGTTAACAATATTCTTAAAGCAAAACAAATTTACTTTTTTTTTTTTTTAACAAATTATCTGTTTTAGAAATTATTCTGATAAACTCTTACAGCCTGAGTTTATAGCCTAAACTTGAATGGAAATCCTTTTTTTTTTTTTTTAGAGACAGAGTCTTACTTTGTCGTCCTCGATAGGGTGCCGTTGTGTCACAGCTCACAGCAACCTCCAGCTCTTGGGCTTAGACAGTTCTCTTTCCTTAGCCTCCTGAGTAGCTGGAACTACAGGCGTCCACCACAACACCCAGCTATTTTTTTGTCGCAGTTTGGCCAGGGCTGGGTTTGAACCTGCCACCCTTGGTATATGGGGCTGGCACCCTATTCACTGAGCCACAGGCGCCAGCCTGGAAATCCTTCTTGTATCAGTTAAGAATTTCTTCTTTTCTTCTTTTACAGAAACCATCTTAATATTCCATTATGTACATGGTTTTGGAGATGGTTTACTAAGCACTTTCACATGTATCACTCCATCTCATCAGTCACTAAAAATTTTCTTGTCTGGGCGGTGCCTGTGGCTCATAGGAGTAGGGCGCCAGTCCCATATGCTGGAGGTGGCAGGTTCAAATCTAGCCCCGGTCAAAAAAAATTTTTTTTTTCTTGTCTGCCTCTCTGATTTCTTGTTCTACACCTGTCCAGCTTCTTTCTTTCTTTCTTCCCTTCCTTTCTCTTCCCTTTCCTTCCCATTTTTTGAGACAGATTCTGAAGCTATCGCCCTGCGTAGAGAGCGGTGGTATCATAGCTCACAGCAACTTCCAACTCTTGGGCATGATCCTCTTCTTGCCTCAGTTTTTCTATTTTTAGTAGAGACAGACTCTCAAACTCATAAGTTCAAGCAGTCCACCCATCTCAGCCTCCCAGAGTGCTAAGATTATAGGTGTGAGCTACCGCCTCCCTCCGCCCCCCGACTTTCATCTTTCCTTTCCCTCACCATGTCAAACTCATCAGCACCGCAGGACCTTTGCACTTGCTGTTCCTTCTGTCTGGGGGTGCTTTTGTCCCATTTCCATACCTCTGGCTCCTACTTATCATTTAGTTCAAGTGTCACATCCTCATGGGAGGCCTTGTCTGACTACTCCATCGAAAGTCCCCCCCCCACCAGTCATTTTATTTTTGAGATAGGGTCTCCTCTGTTGTTCAAGGTAAACTGTAGTGGCATTATCATAGCTTACTGCAACCTCAAACTCCTGGGCTCCAGCAATCCTCCTGCCTCAGCCTCCCAAGTAGTGATACTACAGATATGTGCCACCACGCCCTGCTGATTATTTTTTGAGAGATGGGGTCTTACTATGTTGCTCAGGCCTTAAGTAATCCTCTTGACTTCGGCCTCTCAAGGTGCTAGGATTATGGACATGAGCCACCAGGCCTGGCCCTCAGTCACTCTTACTTTCATAGCATCCACCGCTACCTGAGATTTTGTTGTTTATACAGGGTGTCCTTAAAGTTCATGTGCGATTTAAAACAGCCGACTATTTTAAATTGCACATTACCTTATGGACACCCTGTATATGTGGTATTTCTTTACTTATGTACTGCTGGTGGTCCCCCATGGCCATGTAATCCCCAGGAGCAGATTCTGGCTATTCTGTTTTCTACTCTGTCCCAGAACCTTTCTTGTACATGATGAGAATCAAGTATTCACCAAAATGAATGAATGAATGAGTGAGTGAAAAACATTGGGAGAAAAACAACAGATGCATAATTAGTTCCTGCTTCAGCTCCCGGCCCAGAGCTTTCTTTTGAGCTCCCTCAATTCTGTGCGTCCGGACTATCTCACCACCTTCTCTACACTTGTTCCATCTTTGTTAGAGTTACCACCAAAGCAGAAGCTCACAGATGTCCTTAATCCTTCCCTTTCTCTCCCCTCCTCTGCAGGTCCTGTCAGTGTTCCCCCTAAATATCTCTCAGCCCACCCACTTCACATCATTTCCACAGCCAGGGCCTGACTTCATGCCCCCAGGGACTCTCACCTGGATCATTCTAAAGGATCCCAAGCAATCTTCTTGCCTCCAGGCCACAATGCTGCAAGAGTATTTTTTTCTAGAATACTAATTTGGTCTTATCATTCCCCATTAAAAACCTTCCATGTAGGCTCAGCGCCTGTGGCTCAAGTGGCTAAGGCACGAGCCACATACACCTAAAGTGTTGGGTTCGAATCCAGCCCGGGCCGCCAAACAACAATGACGGCTGCAACCAAAAGATAGCCAGGCGTTGTGGCAGGCGCCTGTGGTCCCAGCTACTTGGGAGGCTGAGGCAGGAGACTCGCTTGAGCCCAGGAGTTGGAGGTTGCTGTGAGCGGTGATGCCATGGCACTCTACCCAGAGGGACAGCTTGAGGCTCTGTCAAAAAAAAAAAAGGAAGAAAGAAAGAAAGAAACCTTCCATGTATTCCATCACTTAAAGGATAAAAATCTAACTTCCTTATTCAGGCATTTAAAGGGCTTTGTAATCTGGCCTCTTCCACTGCCTTCCTTCCTAGTCTCACCCCCGCAGTCCCCACTTGCCCTGTCACCCTCTTCTCTAACCACACCACTGTGTTTCCCTCAGCACATGCCTGCCTTCTGTGCCTTTGGGAGTGCTAATCACTCCCCCAACTTGGCTTATGTCCATCTGTGAACCTTGTCCGTCCTTCAGGATTCTCCCATGACATCACTTCTTCAGGGAAGCCCACCTGGATTATAAGTTTTTTAGACTCGTGCCATTTCCCCCTTAGATCAGTAATTCTCCAACTTGAACATGTATCAAAATCACTGGAAGGTTTATTGAAGCACAGATTTCTAGACCCTACCCCATAGGGTTTCTGATTTGAGAGTCTAGATTTTGTTATGCTAATACTGTTGGACTGGGGACCACACTTTGAAAACTCAAGGGCAGAGGCAACACAGGATGCCACACAGTCTAGAAACACAGACAATCTCATTTCATTGTGTATCAGTCACGTATTATGCATCCGCATGTGCTCCCAGACTTGGTGCCACTCACTCTGTATGTCAGTAACAGCAGCGGCCACGCTAAGAGCTAAGTGCTTACTATGTTATCTCATTAACTCCTCAGAGCACCTCTATGAGGAAGTACTATCATCCCTAACTGTTTTAGCAAATAATGAGAAACTGAGATTTAGCAAATAACTTATTCAATGGCATTAAGCTCGTGGAAAGCATGGCTGGGGGGCCGCCTGTGTCTGGCTGATTCCACAGGCCATGTACTTAGCACAGTGGCATGGCCACCTCCTGATATCCTTGCTGCCTTGCTGGGACAAGGGGAGGTGCTCAATGAATTCTTACTGAATGAGTGAGTGGGTGAATGAATGACTTCGGCCCACTCTCCTTACTTTCTTTTTTTTTTGAGACAGAGTCTCACTATGTCACCCTCGGTAGAGTGCCCTGGCGTCACAGTCTATAGCAACCTCAAACTCTTGGGCATAAGCAATTTCCTTGCCTCAGTCTCCCAAGTAGCTGTGACTACTGGCGCCTGCCACAATGCCCGGCTATTTTTTGTTGCAGTTGTCATTATTGTTTTAGCTGACCCAGGCTGGGTTCCAACCCACCACCCTGGGTGTATGTGGCTGGGACCATAACCACTGTGCTACAGGCTCTGAGCCCACTTTCACAGTTCCCTATGTGATTAATTCCTGTGAAGGTTTATGACATTGGGTTGGTGGGTGGGTTAGAAACTCCAAGGATTCTAGACATGAATCCCAAGAGGTAATAATAAAAATCAGAGACACAGACAACTTAGGGAGCTATTTTTTTTTCTTCTAGTGTGGGTGAGTCAAATTTCAATGAGCAAATATTGACATTTGCTCAGGACCAGACAAGTATATTAATTGTGTGTCAATAAGCCAGTTCCTTTGTTGTGTTTGGGAGGTGATTCTCATGGCATCCACAACTGATGTATTGCCCAAGTGTGCCTGTGGTTTTGAAGGTGTCATTTCCATAAAGGGCGGTGCCGGGAGAAGAGAAAAAGCAGAGTTGCGAGCGTGGGTGAAACCCATTTGCGCTTACCACA